ACTCTGCGTAGGCTGAGCACGTTTCAGCTCCGCTGAGTGCTTTTAAGGAGAATTATTGTGCAAAGTGAGCCAGGAATTGATGCAGGATCAAAAAACGTTTGACGGTGCAGAGGTGAGGGTATCCGGGCAGGTTAAGTGAGATCAGGCTCTACGTGATATGTTGACAAGTGATAAACAAATATGATAAGCAAAGACTATGAAAGCTGCCCGTAGAGCCCAGGGCACGGGATCAGACTACAATCTCCCGTAGAATTTCAGAGTAAATAAATTATCTTAAAAATGGTCCTTAAACTAACTTATATGAATGATTAATCGGTTGCGTCTGCTCCCATAAATCTTAGTGTTCACAACAGAAGTCAACAAACTTGCAAAAAAGGTATAATTCACACACTTATATGTGACTTTTGAAGAGATTTCTAGAACTTTGCTGAGACGGAAAGTCTGGTAAAACTGCACTGTACGTATAGTGGTGCTGGCATGGAAAGTACAAATATTTATGTCAGTTTTTTTGTGAATTTTCTTTCGGACCCCCTGACACAGTGTAATCCATAAATTCTACTCAAAAGACCTTCTCAAAAGCTCACCGTAATAATCTTTGCGTACATGCAATTTGCATATAGTAGCCAATGCAATAAACTTTACTTTCATAGCACTTGAGGCTTTCTAGCCTGTGATCACTACAGCTTTTTGACCTGGCAGTTAAGAATTTTCTTCGTTGAGTTCTTCAAGTAATGACTGCAGAAGCTGTTGTACGACAACGTAACTTGTAAAGTTTTTGTTTTATGAAGTGGCGATTGCAAAGGAGGGAGGAGGGGTATCTAAGACTTTGCTGGATAGCAAAGATATATTTATCGTGAGCAGCTCACAGCGCGAGGTGGCATATGAGAAATTCAAAAACGAAGCCTCTCAACGTAAAATTACGTGATACCTTTTGTAGTGTTTGTAGATACTCTTCAAATGATATGCAACGAAAAAAAGTGGATTGAAGTAAAGAAAAGACAAGAATCAATCAAAGATTAAAAAGTGAAATGCGAAAAAGGGCTGTTGTTATATCATCAGAGCCGTAACAAAACATAGCGGACGAAACTTGAGTTAAGGTGAGTGCTCGTAGGTAGAGCTTTTTCTAAACAATAGATTTATTAGAAAGTGAAAAATTTACGTGAGAAAAGAGGAGAATTACGAAGATTTATGACTTTGTCTGGTCCCGCGCAACCTCAAGGTGCTCTCAGGTTGCGCAGCACCCAACCCAAAATTGAAGTCACTTACAACTCCTCTCGTTCACATAATTTTTTCATAAATTTTCGTACTTTTCTTTTGATCATCGCCGCGAATTTACGCACCAAATTTGGTAATTCAATATTGCTTACTCGCTGTAAACAAACAGTTGTTTATGTTTTTGTGCATAAAAACTATGTTTTGACACGCTGAAATTGTGTGCACAGAGGTTTATTCGCTACTAGTGTTTCAACGTGCTGCTTTATCTGTAAGCGATAAAATTACGTCAGAACTTCAAATTGGCTTGCTAAAATCTTCGATGAAGCGCTGCTCGCGAGCCAGGGTCCCTGGCTTCGATAATCCCTGGCCCACGGATTATCGAAAAAATCAAAATCTTCAGATCCCGTTTCTTCTGTCGAAAACATGCTCAGCAGTATGGTGTATATCTTCAGTACATTTTTGCAGCGTTTTCATCGATTTTTCAGGAAGATAAATGGATTTAGAAATGTGAGGTGAACCCCTGGGGATCCTCTGGGGATCACACAAAATGGCAAAAAACTAGTCTTGTATGGCAGTAACCTGGCATCCGTTATGCGCAGGTATCAGTGTATGAGAAACTTTGTAGGCAAGATAGAGAACGAAGGAGAAGGATACGTAGACTAGCGAGATATGACGCTTCCCCTCTCAGATCCCCTCCCCTCCCCGCGGGGATGTACGTGCATACGGGCCTAAGAGTTAGAGTTGTGTTTTTTGATACTCCATCCGGTTCCCGTTTGGAAATTTAGCGAGTTCCCCTTTGCTTTCCCTTTAGAAAACGACATCTAGCTTGTGAAAGCGCTATCTCTGCTGAGCCCTGATCCTGAGCCAATCCGTATTGTCACTTTATCTTCATTCGTTTTCGTTGAAAAAGACTAAAAGTGGTCTGGACTACTTATCTCTAGCGTTTCCTAGCTTGAATATGAGAGTGAACTAAAAAATGGGTCTTCCAGTACTCTTCTTGCGTCGATGCGTCTACAAGGGGAGGACCGGACCTACTAATGAGTGTTGGTGCGAGCACAAATAATGAACCTTCAACTCAACAGCGTGCAGTGGATAGTGATAGACGTCTTTTACGTTATTACAGGCTTAGATCAACCAAAAGCAATTCCATACCGTAATTTGTACATACAATGAACAAAGTTACACTGTACCCTTTGATTCAACTGGCTTGGCGACTGAAAGGCGGGGCTTAATGACCTAGTTAAGGCTAGATAATGATCAGAAAGCATACGCGCGAGAGAGATGCAGACTGCGTCGCGGGCGCGAGCGGCCTTAATAACGTCACAAAGCCCGCCTCCCAGCCACCAAGCCAGTTGAATCAAAGATTACATAGGTAAACGGGCAGCAAAGCTGATTTTCTTTTCGTAGAATGAGCAATCACGCACATTGCAATAGCATGCTAGCTCATTCAAAAATACGATTTTTTCACTTTATTGTATTTTTGCGTTATCAGCTCAAAAAGGTGAAGTTTTAGTGCGATTTCTTATAGTAGTCAACATAGCAGCTACCAGTTGAACTTTTCTGGAAAATCACCATAAGTTTGCCGTAGGATTTTTTAGCGAATAAATTTTCAGAGCGCACTTTATCCTTAGAACCAGCAGTCGTGTTGATGGCCAGCAAAATTCCAGCTTTCTCGGTCATTCAAGGTATTCATTAGCGTAATTTGTGTTCTCATCTACATGAAATTCTCTCAAGGGTTTTAGCCGCATACTTACACAGGATTGTTAGTGTTCTGCTCCGCTCTGGATCTATTCCAAGACCGCCATCCTTTTCAAATGCAATGTCTTTGTTGGTATCCGTGAAAGACAAAGATCAAAGAGACTTTTACGACTAAGGGAGAACTTCGATGGACAACCCTGGATAAATAGTTTGTGTTAGGAGCAACACATGCTTAGCTAATTTCTCTTGAAGAGTCTTGAAAGAGTTATCCATTTTACAGCAGTATATCAAACTTCAAAGAATTGACTGCTAAAACAAAGTATTCACACTTACATACTGCTAATGTGAATATTCCTAGTCTTGTGTATTGAATTCTACAAGTACATGAAAGAGTAACGAGTGAAGTGCAATGTATCTCAGGTCGACATCCAAACTGTAGGGATTAACCAAAAAGAAATCAAGAAAAACCGCAGAGCGAAGCGAGATTACAAAGCGATAGCAAATGAGCGATAATTACCCGATCTCGGATATTTCTTACAATAGCTCGCTAATTTCGCGAATTATTATTCGCAGGTTTCGATGTGCTACTTGATAGCAAAGCACTTTGAGGTGAATAAAACATTGACTGAAAATGTAAAATCCGAGAAAATGATGTTGATCTGTGAGCAGACACCAATTTTTTCATGCCGCGATTTGCGAAATGAAAACACTTTCCTACGAGAATTTGAACTTACGGGCTGGACTTCGAGAATTGAACTGTTGGATAAACGCTTATTCTTGGCTTAGCATTGAAGAAATATAAATCTGTAGGGAATACTAATGGTCGAAAAAATTGCAAAGAGACCTTCGCATCTACTTTAGGCGCATTTTTCGTCGAAATGCGAGTTCTAAAAAATCGCTTTTTGAGTAAACTTCATCGACCTTGGTCGTGCTAACTCGGATGGTGATCTTCGTGAGAATTGTACATACAGCAGGTTGCCTGCTTATGGTGTGAAACAATGATGGGATAGAAAAAATTCTTTTCAAATTCAAATACTTACAACTTGAGTTGACAACGTTTTTGATGAGAGCTTTTTTCCGCATCATGCTTCGAATAATCGGATAGAATTTTTAGCAACACTTTACTTTTACCTCCAAACTCAGCTTTTCATAGTGGGAAGACTTTCTAGACAGGAAATTTTTGGTTTTTCTCAAAATTGCTTTTTCTCGGTAACCATTTTGAGGCATAAACAAATAAAGCTAGCGGCTGAAAAAATCATAATGTAGCGTATGAAAATTTGAGTTTAAGTTCAAGCTCATTTATCAATAGTTTCTATTTGAGACCAAGAAATATGTTGAAGTTATTTTCCATAAGACTTAAGTCTT